GTATACTGAATACCCCACACAGTATACTGAATACCCCACACAGTATACTGAATACCCCACACAGTATACTGAATACCCCACACATTATACTTAATACCCCACACAGTATATTGAATATCCCACACAGTATATTGAATACCCCACACAGTAAACTGAATACCCCACACAGTATACTAAATACCCCACACAGTATATTGAATATCCCACACAGTATACTGAATACCCCACACAGTATACTGAATACCCCACACAGTATATTGAATATCCCACACAGTATACTGAATACCCCACACAGTATACTGAATACCCCACACAGTATACTGAATATCCCACACAGTATCTTGAATATCCCACAGAGTATACTGAATACCCCACACAGTACAATGAATACCCCATACGGTATACTGAATATCTCACACAGTATATTGAATATCTCACACAGTATACTGAATACCCCACACAGTATACTGAATACCCCACACAGTATACTGTGTACCCCTCACAGTATACTGAATACCCCATACAGTATACTGAATACCCCTCACAGTATACTGAATATCCCACACAGTATACTGAATACCCCACACAGTATACTGAATACCCCTCACTGTATACTGAATACCCCACACAGTATACTGAATACCCCACACAGTATACTGTGTACCTCACACAGTATACTGAATACCCCACACAGTATACTGAATACCCCACACAGTATACTGAATACCCCTCACAGTATACTGAATATCCCACACAGTATACTGAATACCCCTCACAGTATACTGAATATCCCACACAGTATACTGAATACCCCACACAGTATACTGAATACCCCTCACTGTATACTGAATATCCCACACAGTATACTGAATACCCCACACAGTATATTGAATACCCCTCACTGTATACTGAATATCCCTCACAGTATACTGAATACCCCTCACAGTATACTGAATATCCCACACAGTATACTGAATACCCCACACAGTATACTGAATATCCCACACAGTATACTGAATACCCCACACAGTATACTGAATACCCCTCACTGTATACTGAATACCCCACACAGTATACTGAATACCCCTCACTGTATACTGAATATCCCTCACAGTATACTGAATACCCCTCACAGTATACTGAATATCCCACACAGTATACTGAATACCCCACACAGTATACTGAATATCCCACACAGTATACTGAATACCCCACACAGTATACTGAATACCCCTCACTGTATACTGAATACCCCACACAGTATACTGAATACCCCACACAGTATACTGTGTATCCCTCACAGTATACTGAATACCTCACAGTATACTGAATACCCCTCACAGTATACTGAATATCCCACACAGTATACTGAATACCCCACACAGTATACTGAATACCCCTCACAGTATACTGAATACCCCACACAGTATACTGAATACCCCACACAGTATACTGTGTACCCCACACAGTATACTGAATACCCCACACAGTATACTGAATACCCCTCACAGTATACTGAATACCCCACACAGTATACTGAATACCCCACACAGTATACTGTGTACCCCACACAGTATACTGAATATCCCTCACAGTATACTGAATATCCCACACAGTATACTGAATACCCCACACAGTATACTGAATACCCCTCACAGTATACTGAATATCCCACACAGTATATTGAATACCCCACACAGTATACTGAATACCCCTCACTGTATACTGAATACCCCACACAGTATACTGAATACCCCACACAGTATACTGTGTATCCCTCACAGTATACTGAATACCTCACAGTATACTGAATACCCCTCACAGTATACTGAATATCCCACACAGTATACTGAATACCCCTCACTGTATACTGAATACCCCACACAGTATACTGAATACCCCACACAGTATACTGTGTACCCCACACAGTATACTGAATACCCCACACAGTATACTGAATACCCCTCACTGTATACTGAATACCCCACACAGTATACTGAATACCCCACACAGTATACTGAATACCCCACACAGTATACTGAATACCCCTCACAGTATACTGAATATCCCACACAGTATATTGAATACCCCACACAGTATACTGAATACCCCTCACTTTATACTGAATACCCCACACAGTATACTGAATACCCCACACAGTATACTGTGTATCCCTCACAGTATACTGAATACCTCACAGTATACTGAATACCCCTCACAGTATACTGAATATCCCACACAGTATACTGAATACCCCACACAGTATACTGAATACCCCACACAGTATACTGAATATCCCACACAGTATACTGAATACCCCTCACAGTATACTGAATACCCCTCACAGTATACTGAATACCCCACACAGTATACTGAATACCCCTCACTGTACACTGAATATCCCTCACAGTATACTGAATACCCCTCACAGTATACTGAATATCCCACACAGTATACTGAATACCCCACACAGTATACTGAATATCCCACACAGTATACTGAATACCCCACATAGTATACTGAATACCCCTCACTGTATACTGAATACCCCACACAGTATACTGAATACCCCACACAGTATACTGTGTATCCCTCACAGTATACTGAATACCTCACAGTATACTGAATACCCCTCACAGTATACTGAATATCCCACACAGTATACTGAATACCCCACACAGTATACTGAATACCCCTCACAGTATACTGAATACCCCACACAGTATACTGAATACCCCACACAGTATACTGTGTACCCCTCACAGTATACTGAATACCCCATACAGTATACTGAATACCCCTCACAGTATACTGAATATCCCACACAGTATACTGAATACCCCACACAGTATACTGAATACCCCACACAGTATACTGTGTACCCCACACAGTATACTGAATATCCCTCACAGTATACTGAATATCCCACACAGTATACTGAATACCCCACACAGTATACTGAATACCCCTCACAGTATACTGAATATCCCACACAGTATATTGAATACCCCACACAGTATACTGAATACCCCTCACTGTATACTGAATACCCCACACAGTATACTGAATACCCCTCACTGTATACTGAATACCCCACACAGTATACTGAATACCCCACACAGTATACTGTGTATCCCTCACAGTATACTGAATACCTCACAGTATACTGAATACCCCTCACAGTATACTGAATATCCCACACAGTATACTGAATACCCCTCACTGTATACTGAATACCCCACACAGTATACTGAATACCCCACACAGTATACTGTGTACCCCACACAGTATACTGAATACCCCACACAGTATACTGAATACCCCTCACTGTATACTGAATACCCCACACAGTATACTGAATACCCCACACAGTATACTGAATATCCCTCACAGTATACTGAATATCCCACACAGAATACTGAATACCCCTCACTGTATACTGAATACCCCACACAGTATATTGAATATCCCACACAGTATATTGAATATCCCACACAGTATACTGAATATCCCACACAGTATATTGAATATCCCTCACTGTATACTGAATACCCCACACAGTATACTGAATACCCCACACAGTATACTGAATACCCAACACAGTATACTGAATACCCCACACAGTATACTGAATATCCCACACAGTATACTGAATACCCCACACAGTATACTGAATACCCCACACAGTATACTGAATATCCCACACAGTATACTGAATACCCCACACAGTATACTGAATACCCCTCACTGTATATTGAATATCCCACACAGTATACTGAATACCCCACACAGTATACTGAATACCCCACACAGTATACTGAATATCCCACACAGTATACTGAATACCCCACACAGTATACTGAATACCCCACACAGTATATTGAATACCCCACACAGTATACAGAATACCCCACACAGTATATTGAATACCCCACACAGTATACTGAATACCCCTCACAGTATACTGAATACCCCACACAGTATATTGAATATCCCACACAGTATACTGAATACCCCACACAGTATACTGAATATCCCACACAGTATACAGAATACCCCACACAGTATACTGAATACCCCTACAGTATACTGAATACCCCACACAGTATACTGAATACCCCACACAGTATACTGAATACCCAACACAGTATACTGAATACCCCACACAGTATACTGAGTATCCCACACAGTATACTGAATACCCCACACAGTATACTGAATACCCCACACAGTATATTGAATACCCCACACAGTATACAGAATACCCCACACAGTATATTGAATACCCCACACAGTATACTGAATACCCCTCACAGTATACTGAATACCCCACACAGTATATTGAATATCCCACACAGTATACTGAATACCCCACACAGTATACTGAATATCCCACACAGTATACAGAATACCCCACACAGTATACTGAATACCCCTACAGTATACTGAATACCCCACACAGTATACTGAATACCCCACACAGTATAATACTACATCCAGACTACAGGATCTACATAATTTAATCACTTAGGACAGATAATTCACACTTTGGCTCAGCTCAAAAGGCTGCTCTTTTTCTTCATCTTCCAGTACATTCTGCAGGACAGACTGTCATTATGTTGTTTGTTTGTTTGTTTGTTTGTTTGTTTGTAATGCCGCACTCAGCAATATTCAAGCTATATGACGGCGGTCTGTGTATAATTGAGTCTGGACCAGACAATCCAGTGATTAATATCATGAGGATCAATCTACGCAATTTGGATCATAGACATGCATCAACCAAGTCAGCGAGCCTGACCACCCGATCCTGTTAGTCGCCTTTTACGACAAGCATAGTCACCTTTTACGGCAAGCATGGGTTGCTGAAGACCTATTCTACCCCGGAATCTTCACGGGTCCTAAGCACCTGACTGTTAAACACCAGTCCTAAAGGGAAGCTATGAAGCCTATGCAGGTCCAGGTTGAATATGCACCTGACTGCACCTCCCTCTTTGTTTCAGTGCCAGGGAGCCCTGTCTGCCCTCACCAAGTGCTGTGAGACTGGGGCTGGGAACTTGCTCCATCTGTCTATAGAGGCTGCCAGGGCGCGGGCATCGGTAGGGGAGATAACTCAGGCCATGGAAGTGGTGAGCCCAACATTACGGATGATCTTCACTGTTGATCAATTTAAGGTCTTATCGTTTGACATGGATTTACTTTGGTCTTTCCAGTCCATGGTAGTGTCAGTAATACATTGTGGGGATCAAAGGCATGAATAATGAGGTTAAAGGCACACATAAGGGGGTCCAAAGCGTGAATAAGGGGGTCCAAGGCATAAATAAGGGGGTCAAAGGCATGAATAAGGGGGTCCAAAGCATGAATAAGGGGGTCCAAGCCATGAATAAGGGGGTCCAAAGCATGAATAAGGAGGTCCAAAGCATGAATAAGGGGGCCCAAGCCATGAATAAGGAGGTCCAAAGCATGAATAAGAGGGTCCAAAGCATGAATAAGGAGGTCCAAAGCATGTATAAGGGGGTCCAAAGCATGAAAAAGGAGGTCCAATGCATGAATAAGCGGGTCCAAAGCATGAAGAAGAGGGTCCAAAGCATGAATAAGGGGGTCCAAGGCATGAATAAGGGGGTCCAAAGCATGAATAAGGGGGTCCAAGGCATGAAGAAGGGGGTCCAAGGCATGAATAAGGGGGTCCAAAGCATGAAAAAGGGGGTCCAAAGCATGAATAAGCGGTCCAAAGCAGGAATAAGAGGGGCCAAAACATGAATAAGGGGGTCCAAAGCATGAATAAGGGGATCCAAGGGATGAAATAGGGGGGTCCAAAGCATGAATAAGGTGGTCCAAGCCATGAATAAGAGGGTCCAAGCCATGAATAAGGGGTCCAAAGCAGGAATAAGAGGGTCCAAAACATGAATAAGGGGGTCCAAAGCATGAATAAGGGGATCCAAGCGTTAAAATAGGGGGGTCCAAAGCATGAATAAGGTTGTCCAAGCCATGAATAAGGGGATCCAAGCCATGAATAAGAGGGTCCAAAGCATGAATAAGGAGGTCCAAAGCAGGAATAAGAGGGTCCAAAGCATGAATAAGAGGGTTCAAAGCATGAATAAGTGGGTCCAAGGCATGAATTTTGTAATCTATTCTCAATTTCTTAACACAGTATTTTGTGTCGTATAAAACTGTGGAGTGAAGCACATCAATTGGTATATTTTCAAATTTGTATTTTTCTCGAAGTTTATTAGAAATTATGGCTATGTACCTGAAACTATACATAACATATCCACACCATATTTATGAACAGGTGTTTGGCCGTCATGTAGCCAGCGACAGAATGGTGAGCGGAGCGTACGTGACGGAGTTCGGTGAAGCCGAGGAAATGAGAATTGTGTCTGAGAGAATAAAGGTGAACATTGCACTCCTTGTCCATTGGGCATTTGTTACCAAACCTACAGATCTGTTGTCTGAGGTTCAGGACAATTGGTCCAATTTTGTCAAAAATGAAATGAATGTGATCATTTTAAGTTTACTGAGAAAACAATTTTGAAATGCTGGACTTCCTCATTGATAACGTCCATGTAATATTTTGGGGTAGGACATTTGGGCAAGAACTAGGCATCCCCATGGGCACCAATTGTGCTCCCCTTTTTGCTGATCTGTTTGAATCAAAATTTCGGCTCAGATTAGCAAAATCAAAACAAAAGACTTTTGCCAAGAAGTATATCTTCTTGTATATCGATGATCTGATATCATTGAGTAACGGTCAAATAGCCAGTTCCCTTCCACTGATTTTTCAACCTGAACTAGACATTAAAGAAGAGACCAGCGAGACCGCCTCATCAGTTTCATATTTAGATCTTTGCATAAAGATTCAGAGTGCCAAAATGTCGAGCAATAATCCAGCAGCTCCAACCTTTGCTGTGTTCGTTTTGCAACTATTGAGGAACAATCGAGCATGCTCTCGCTACCAAGATTTCAAAGAGCATGAGGACCGCCTCCGTGGTCTTGTGGTAGAGCGTCCGCCCGGAGAGCGGAAGGTCCGGGGTTCGATCCCTGGCCGCGTCATACCAAACGACGTTAAAAGATGGTACTTGTTGTTAACCTGTCTGGCGCTCGGCATTAAGGGGCTAAAACAAGGACTGGTCGGCTCGGAGTCAGTATACTGTGTCTGAGTGGGGTAATCATGTTAAACTGGGACATGGTATCTCAATGAGGTAGCACTATAAATCGTCATCAGTCAGGACTAGTACAAGCAGCCACACGAACACACACACGTACATGCACGTGGCTATATAAGTGCAATTATCTTGGATGCGACATTAAACCCTATTTCACCTCACCTCACCTCAAAGAGCATGATAAGACTCTTGCTCAAAAGTTGTTTGATCATGGTTACTGCATCCAAGGCCTCAGTAAAGCTTTCAAAAATTTCAAAGCAATTCTAAATTTGACTGGTACTATACGGTCCCGTGTTTTTTCCAGGTGAACAATTGACTTGCCTTTGCATGTATTTGTGATGGGTGACGTCAGTGGAGCTGGATAGGCTCACCTGTGTGCAAACACCTGTTACCATCACTATAAAATTGATAGTGATTCATAGACACATGCAAATGATATAGTTGCTTTTTACAGAGATTTCATATGAATATTCCTCTGTTTACTGACTGCCATGGCATAAAACAACATGCGCTTAGGTTCATTATTACAGTGAAATTGTGTTGGCTCACTCCCAAGTTTCATTCCCCTTGAAGTTAGAAAGTATCATTGTTTGGTGCAGAGCTTCGTGGAGGTGGAAGGGCGACGCCCACGTATCCTGGTAGCCAAGGTGGGCCAGGACGGCCATGATCGGGGCGGGAAGGTGATTGCCACGGGCTTTGCTGATCTCGGCTTTGATGTCGACATTGGCCCACTCTTTGCAGTAAGTAAAACAGTTCACTTTTTAGTATCTGCTCTTGTCAAGTGGGCGGCTTGGCCCAGTAAGTTAGGTTGCTGTATTTCACTGTTCACCAATTTCGTAAAATCGAGGGCGGTCGGGTAGCCAAGTAGTTAAAGCGTTCGCTCATCACGCTGAAGACCCGGGTTAGATTCCCAACATGGGTACAATGCGTGAAGCCCATTTCTGGTGTCCCCGGCCTTAATTTTTCTGGAATATTGCTAAAAGCTGCATAAAATCATACTCACTCACTCACTTGTATAATCGGCATGACACACATATAATTATCTCTATGTCTGAATATACAATGGTTATGTTACAAAAAACACATGTTCAATAAGTGTAGAGCATCTCTACTTTACTTCACCTCAGACACCAAAAGAGGCAGCTCAGCAAGCGATTGATGCAGATGTGCATGTTGTGGGAGTTAGCTCCCTTGCTGCGGGTCACAAGACCCTGATTCCAGAACTTATCAAGGAACTCCAGAACATGGGACGACCGTGAGTATCACAATCATTTGTCTTGTACATGTACAGGATTTCATATCGCACTTATTGAAGAAATTTTAGGGTCTGTGGACCCGGCTCCAAATTAAAATAAGAGGTGTCTTGTCTACTGTGGGATTTCATCCAGTTTCGAGACACTGAAGGCTTGTCTTCTAAATAGAAATGAGTGAAAGTCAACCACACCCAAAGTTGTGGAGGCAACGGTTGGTGCAAGTTGTAACACACCCTCACTTAAGTTTGCATTCATCCAATAGCTGCTGTGAGCTTCAGTGCCTGTGGTTATCTCGTACAGGCTGTAGGTAATTTGTATGTATCTCTGCTGACAGGAGCGTACCCATCACTCATACTGTCCTCAGGGCGGTCGGGTAGCCTAGTGGTTAAAGCGTTGACTCGTCACGCCGAAGACCCGGGTTCGATTCCCGACATGGGTACAATGTGTGAAGCCCATTTCTGGTGTCCCCCGCCGTGATATTGCTGGAATATTGCTAAAAGCAGCGTAAAACCATACTCACTCACTCATACTGTCCTCTGATGGATTGGGGTGGTGGGGTAGCCTCGTTGATAAAGCGTTTGCTTGTCACGCCGAAGACCTGGGTTTGATTCCCCACCTGGGTACAATATGCGAAGCCCATTTCTGGTGTCCCCCGCCGTTATATTGCTGGAATATTGCTAAAAGTGGCGTAAAACAATACTTGCTCACTCACTCCTCTGATGGATGAGTCATGTGCTGCTGTTTCAGTGACATCCTGGTTGTAGCCGGCGGCGTGATCCCTCCCCAGGACTATGACTTCCTCTTCAGTGCTGGCTGCTCCGCTGTTTTTGGCCCAGGTGAGGAGGGATAACATAAGTCTAGGTGCTTCCTGTGATTGGAATGTATGTATCTGCACAAATACATAGCACCCACTCACACAAACATACCCACATCCACCTCCACACACTTACTCACATCCACCTCCACACACATACCCACATCCACCTCCACACACATACCAACATCCACCTCCACATACATACCAACATCCACCTCCACACACATACCCACATCCACCTCCACACACTTACACACATCCACCTCCACACACATACCCACATCCACCTCCACACACATACCTACATCCACCTCCACACACTTACACACCTCCACCTCCACACACATACCTACATCCACCTCCACACACATACCCACCTCCACCTCCACACACTTACACACATCCACCTCCACACACAAACCCACATCCACCTCCACACACATACCAACATCCACCTCCACACACATACCAACATCCACCTCCACACACAAACCCACATCCACCTCCACACACATACCCACATCCACCTCCATACACATACCCACATCCACCTCCACACACATACCCACATCCACCTCCACACACATACCCACATCCACCTCCACACACTTACCCACATCCACCTCCACACACTTACCCACATCCACCTCCACTCACATACCCACATCCACATCCACAACGACCTCCACACACAAACCCACATCCACCTCCACACACATACCCACATCCACCTCCACACACATACCCACATCCACCTCCACACACATACCCACATCCACCTCCACACACATACCCACATCCACCTCCACACACATACCCACATCCACCTCCACACACATACCCACATCCACCTCCACACACATACCCACATCCACCTCCACATACATACCCACATCCACCTCCACATACATACCCACATCCACCTCCACATACATACCCACATCCACCTCCACATACATACCCACATCCACCTCCACACACATACCCACATCCACCTCCACACACATACCCACATCCACCTCCACATACATACCCACATCCACCTCCACATACATACCCACATCCACCTCCACACACATACCCACATCCACCTCCACTCACATACCCACATCCACCTCCACACACATACCCACATCCACCTCCACACACATACCCACATCCACATCCACAACGACCTCCACACACATACCCACATCCACCTCCACACACATACCCACATCCACCTCCACACACATACCCACATCCACCTCCACTCACATACCCACATCCACCTCCACACACATACCTACATCCACCTCCACACACATACCCACATCCACCTCCACACACATACCCACATCCACCTCCACACACATACCTACATCCACCTCCACACACATACCCACATCCACCTCCACACACTTACACACATCCACCTCCACTCACATACCCACATCCACCTCCACACACAAACCCACATCCACCTCCACACACATACCCACATCCACCTCTACACACATACCCACATCCACCTCCACACACAAACCCACACTCACCTCCACACACAAACCCACATCCACCTCCACACACATACCCACATCCACCTCCACACACATACCCACATCCACCTCCACACACAAACCCACATCCACCTCCACACACTTACACACATCCACCTCCACACACATACCCACATCCACCTCCACACACATACCCACATCCACCTCCACACACATACCCACATCCACCTCCACACACTTACACACATCCACCTCCACTCACATACCCACATCCACCTCCACACACATACCCACATCCACCTCCACACACTTACACACATCCACCTCCACTCACATACCCACATCCACCTCCACACACATACCCACATCCACCTCCACACACATACCCACATCCACCTCCACACACATACCCACATCCACCTCCACACACATACCCACATCCACCTCCACACACATACCCACATCCACCTCCACACACTTACACACATCCACCTCCACTCACATACCCACCTCCACCTCCACACACATACCCACATCCACCTCCATACACATACCCACATCCACCTCCACACACATACCTACATCCACCTCCACACACATACCCACATCCACCTCCACACACTTACACACATCCACCTCCACTCACATACCCACATCCACCTCCACACACAAACCCACATCCACCTCCACACACATACCCACATCCACCTCTACACACATACCCACATCCACCTCCACACACAAACCCACACTCACCTCCACACACAAACCCACATCCACCTCCACACACATACCCACATCCACCTCCACACACATACCCACATCCACCTCCACACACAAACCCACATCCACCTCCACACACATACCCACCTCCACCTCCACTCACATACCCACACTCACCTCCACACACATACCCACCTCCACCTCCACTCACATACCCACATCCACCTCCACACACAAACCCACATCCACCTCTACACACAAACCCACATCCACCTCCACACACAAACCCACACTCACCTCCACACACATACCCACATCCACCTCCACACACATACCCACATCCACCTCCACACACATACCCACATCCACCTCCACTCACATACCCACATCCACCTCCACACACTCACCCGCATCCACCTCCACACACATACCCACATCCACACACATACCCACCTCCACCTCCACACACATACCCACCTCCACCTCCACACACTTACACACATCCACCTCCACACACATACCTACATCCACCTCCACACACATACCCACATCCACCTCCACACACTTACACACATCCACCTCCACTCACATACCCACATCCACCTCCACACACAAACCCACATCCACCTCCACACACTTACCCACATCCACCTCCACACACATACCCACCTCCACCTCCACACACATACCCACATCCACCTCCACACACATACCCACATCCACCTCCACACACATACACACATCCACCTCCACACACATACCCACCTCCACCTCCACACACATACCAACATCCACCTCCACACACTTACACACATCCACCTCCACACACATACCCACCTCCACCTCCACACACATACCCACATCCACCTCCACACACTTACACACATCCACCTCCACACACATACCCACATCCACCTCCACACACATACCCACATCCACCTCCACACACATACACACATCCACCTCCACACACATACCCACCTCCACCTCCACACACATACCAACATCCACCTCCACACACTTACACACATCCACCTCCACACACATACCCACCTCCACCTCCACACACATACCAACATCCACCTCCACACACTTACACACATCCACCTCCACACACATACCCACCTCCACCTCCACACACATACCAACATCCACCTCCACACACTTACACACATCCACCTCCACACACATACCCACATCCACCTCCACACACATACCCACATCCACCTCCACACACATACCCACATCCACCTCCACACACATACACACATCCACCTCCACACACATACCCACATCCACCTCCACACACTCACCCACATCCACCTCCACACACATACCAACATCCACCTCCACACACTTACACACATCCACCTCCACACACATACCCACCTCCACCTCCACACACATACCAACATCCACCTCCACACACTTACACACATCCACCTCCACACACATACCCACCTCCACCTCCACACACATACCAACATCCACCTCCACACACTTACACACATCCACCTCCACACACATACCAACATCCACCTCCACACACTTACACACATCCACCTCCACACACATACCCACATCCACCTCCACACACATACCCACATCCACCTCCACACACTTACACACATCCACCTCCACACACATACCCACATCCACCTCCACACACATACCCACATCCACCTCCACACACATACCCACATCCACCTCCACACACATACCCACATCCACCTCCACACACATACCCACATCCACCTCCACACACATACCCACATCCACCTCCACACACATACCAACATCCACCTCCACACACTTACACACATCCACCTCCACACACAAACCCACATCCACCTCCACACACTCACCCACATCCACCTCCACACACTCACCCACATCCACCTCCACACACTTACACACATCCACCTCCACTCACATACACACATCCACCTCCACACACATACCCACATCCACCTCCACACACATACCCACATCCACCTCCACACACATACACACATCCACCTCCACACACATACCCACATCCACCTCCACACACTCACCCACATCCACCTCCACACACTTACACACATCCACCTCCACTCACATACCCACATCCACCTCCACACACAAACCCACATCCACCTCCACACACATACCCACATCCACCTCCACACACTTACACACATCCACCTCCACTCACATACCCACATCCACCTCCACACACAAACCCACATCCACCTCCACACACTTACCCACATCCACCTCCACACACAAACCCACATCCACCTCCACACACATACCTACATCCACCTCCACACACATACCCACATCCACCTCCACACACTTACACACATCCACCTCCACTCACATACCCACATCCACCTCCACACACAAACCCACATCCACCTCCACACACTTACCCACATCCACCTCCACACACATACCCACCTCCACCTCCACACACATACCCACCTCCACCTCCACACACTTACACACATCCACCTCCACACACATACCCACCTCCACCTCCACACACTTACACACATCCACCTCCACACACATACCCACCTCCACCTCCACACACATACCCACATCCACCTCCACACACATACCCACATCCACCTCCACACACTCACCCACATCCACCTCCACACACATACCCACATCCATCTCCACACACATACCCACATCCACCTCCACATACATACCCACATCCACCTCCACACACATACCCACATCCACCTCCACTCACATACCCACATCCACCTCCACACACATACCCACATCCACCTCCACTCAC